TGTGTTCATATTTCCAGCATCACAACAGCTTAACTTTAATGAATATCATTACTGCACATTACAATAAAAGTTTGCTTCTCTGAATTGTACTTTGGTATACAGATTCAAATTTTTATATTTCAAAAAGCACTGGATATTTTTTCAAAAACCTAGTGTTAATTATAATGATACTGTTGATGTTTTACAATACATAAAGAAAAAATAATTATTATAGTGAATACATTGTAATTCAAATAAAATCATTTGTGACTTTATAGCATAATTCTGCTTTTATATTCACTATGCAGCTTATGTTTAGGTATTTTTCTAATAAGTACAATTAATTCAGAATGGCTTAGCTGAATCTTGCCATTCAATATCAAAGAATGATGCTTCACTTACTTCTTGACACATCAAATACATGTAAGAATTACATATGGATTCATACTTCTTTATTCACCTTTTGACTTGAGAATTTCTACAAATATACTACCCTTACTTGTCCTGGCTTTGTTTTCTTATGTATTTCCACCTCTCTATTCATCTCAGCTAAGAGCTAACAATATAAACAATGAGTACTGCTTTCAGAAATGACAGCAGTGTTTTTCCCACCAAACATTTGTACATCTATGCTACATATTGTACATAGATGCTACAGAAAAAGAAATCTGTAGGAGAAAAATAACAAGAGTAACCTACAAATAAAAAGAGTAACCTATGAACAGCTACTTTCATTCAGGTTAAGGGAATCAGCAAAAAAACCCTTCGGATTCTAGTGGTAGTAATGAGTTCTGTGGGTTGCGGTGAATAGCTAAATGAAGTGGCAGAACAAACAATGTTTGTTTAATCTATTTTTAAGTCAAAGAAAAACTCAGAGGCAATTTCAGCAATGTGAAATCTTCTCTAAAGGGACACTAAATAATGATCATTTCTATAAGGTTATAATTCTAGAACTGTGTTCTTAAAGGTCATAAAACCATAGAGATGAAAGTGACCTTAAAATACTTTATGCTCAGATTTCGTCATTTTTTTTACAGATGAGGAAAACCAAAGTCAAAAGAAAAAGATTGATTTATATAATGTAACTGTTCTTCATCACCTAGATTGAAATTTTCCTACTATTCAATGCCTTTAACATAAATAATAAATAGCAAATAAATATCAGAACATAAATCTGCTGCTTGTTTCAATCCTTACAGTATTTACTGAAGTCCCACAATACATTGTGCTATCTTATGTGTGTGTATATATGCGTGGGTGGGTATAGTTATTAGATATAGTGAGGAAAAATACTAGTGATGTGAAGGAATTCTTGGTTCAGTTCTTTTTCTGCCACATACATGCCTGGTAACCATAGGAGAACTTGGGAGAATTACTTAACCTCTCTGGGTCTCAATTATTTCATCTAAGTTGTGAAAATATTCAACCAGATTTATATAATTTTCCACTCCTACAATTCTCAAGGTTTTTAAAAACAACCCATGTAACTTTCTTTTTTGTTTTTTTATCTTTTTAAAGAGAATGCTACATCCTAGATACCAAAATAGCTTATCCAAAAGAAAAACATTGTCAATAAAACTTCCTGAGTTAAAGTTTGAAATTATATTTGCCCTTGGTTAATATCCCACAGTTCAATACACAAACGATGAAGAATGGTTTATCAACAAAAATACTCATAAGAAAGATAAAAAGAATAATCTAAAAACCAGTAATTTATTTCCAGATAACTTTTGTGAAAACAGAATTTTTTTCTTGTTATTCATTTATTTAAAAGATCTGAAATTGATGTTATCAAATACTGAGAAATTAACAGATACAGTCATGGCTCTCCAGAGAATGGAATGTTGACCTCGTGTTCTAATGGGTATCTGTCTAGAAACTCATTTTCTAAAAGATTAATTGCTATCCAAAAATGTACTGTAGCCAAAGGTACAAAGGAAGATTTCAAAAATACCATTACTCTTTATGACCATGTATGGATTATATAGGCTGTTTGTCACTGAATTCCTCTCTTATTTAAGTGATGACAGTAGAAAGATACAATAAAAAGAAATTTTGATTTTCAATATAAAAAATCAGCTCTTAAATATGGCTGATTAGAGGAAATTCTAACAATAAAATAAATTGAGGCTTTCAGGCTCAATTTTGCTTATCTAACCTATGAGTGATCTCTATTATCATTTGTTATTACTACTAAATATCTTTATGTTTGATTATGCTATTTGTTCAAGAATGAGACTTTCAAATTCAAATAAACAGAAAGAGATCAAAACCATGAGTTTTTCTACAAGTTCATTAGGAGTGCTAATATATAAGCAATCAGGTATAATTGTATCATTGAATCTTTTGTCCTTCTTTAGAATGTAAAAAAAATGAAAACTGTCAAGGTGATGTTAGACTCTCTCATTATAAGTTCTCACAGTATTACAGTAAACATCTAATAGTGAAACATGTGAGAGAAAGTTGACTATCTTTGATGGCACAGTTGAGGTTTTCTCCTAAATTACTTCCTAAAAACATTGAAAAAAACAGTACTTCTGAATTGGTTGTTTATTCTCTTTCAATTGAATATTTTCTTTTATTTTTTCAAACCACTATTTCCCAAAATAATAAAACAAAAAAGCTTCCACAAATAATTATTTTTACTTCTAACACTAAGTGAAACCCTTCTTGATATTAAATAGGAAGACAAATTATCCTGAAAGCTTCCTGGAACTTATTTCAGGTTTATTACCTAAAGCTGACCATCAAAATAACTGGTAGAGAACATCTTGTAGGTATCAGAAACCATCAGGCAAACTGTCCAACTCTTTCATTTTCCTGACAAATATCTAGTGGTCTCTATCTGGGAACCTTATTATCTCTCTCAATTTGCTTTCAGTGCTATCACGTCGCTATTGCAAGATATTTTTGTTTTCAGATTTTAGGTGGTAGCAGATTAAAGAGAGCAGTGTTATAACAAAAAAAAAACAAACGAAAGATGTATTTAAAAAACTGTCAGAACTATTCAAATTGTAGTCTTTAATAAAGGTGTGAAGGACTTTTTTTCTGACTTCATAATTCATGTTTCTCACCATTGTGTTGTCTTCATTTTATTTTTTGTTACTACTGTTTTAGTAAGGTCAGTTTTTAAAAAGCATGGGTAGGTTAGCATGTCTTTGAAGTTAATTCACAATTATTAATATATAATTACTCAGAAGATAGATAATTCTGTCCTCACGTTTTTCCTGCTCACATTCTTGTCCTTATAAATAAGAGTTGAGGAAGAAAAATACTGAATATATTTTTTAAATAATTTGGTATCTTGTTCAAATTCTACTTAATTTTTTTGAGATCCTTCTATTATTTCTAACCCTAATGTTGACAGCCTTTAAATATTTCCATAGAAAATTTATTAACATTTCCAGTATTTAAATCCTTAATTGTAAGAATGATTCTGAATTTAAAATGTAAATAACTGGCTGTTTATTTCAATCTGAATTTTTTTCATTAATGTTTACTTATTAAAAATGAAAATTTTATCTTATTATTATGAACATCCTATTCTTGGTAAAGCCAGCTCTTACTTAAAACAGTTTCTGTTCATTAAAAAAAAAAAAAAAAGATGTTTTACTCCATTCCATTAGTAAAGAGAAAACTTTTAGACCACCAATCTCATATCTGTTTTCTAACAGAACTAAACACAAATACGTTTCAAAAGTAGCCAGTGCTGTTGATTGAAAATGTGTTTCAATAAAGGTTACCTGCACATCAAACAGATAAAATAGTAAATGAAAAATACACTTTCTCAGACACTTTTATTTATTTTCCTTACTCTTTCAAATGTTTGCATTAAAAAAAAAAAAAAAAAAAAAAAAAAAACTTCTGAACTTACAATAAAAATAAGGTAGACTAGTGTCTTTGTTTAGGCTGCTATATCAAAACACCTCAGGCTAAGTAATTTATACATAACAGAAATACATTGCTCACAGTTCGGGAGACTGGAAAATCCAAGATCAAGGGCCCAGCAGATTTGGTGTCCTGTGAGAGCTTTTTTTCTATTTCACAGATGGTGCCTTCTTGCTGAGTCCTCCAATGGCAGAAAGGGCAGGGAAGCTCCCTTGGGCCTGTTTCATAAGGGCACTAATCCTATCCATGGGGACAGAGCCTTCATAACCTAATGATCTTCTGAAGGCCCCACCTCTTAATATCACCAGAATGGGAATTACGTTTCAACATAGGCAGAGGGTAGGAGAGGACACAAACATTCAGACCATTTCAATTAACAGCAAATAGTCTCATGTAAAATGAGTGATTTCTGGATCAAGAGGCTAAATATTTTATTATATTAATGCCATCAGACAGAAAATTCCATTTGCATAAGATCTTTCAATCAAAACCTTCATTAATTGGAATGATGATTCCAATATATTAATAATAATTGGTATTTGTATTACTTTGTACCAATGAAAAATTTTAACTTACTCAAGTTTACAGAGAAAAAGGAGGAAAGTATTTTAATATTTGGTGCCTTGTAAAGTGCAAAAATTTATAGCATAGGTCAGTATGTTAGAGCCCTAGTGCAAAATGTTTGATTTGTATGTAGTGTCTAAGGGTTTTTCTTGCAGCAATACATTTGTCATGAGTACACCTGAAATGTCATCACAAGTTATAACAACACCCAAGGTGGCAGTTATCTCAGAGAATTCCAAAATAAACATTGTGCTAGAAAATAGTATTTTTAAAAAATGTTTCATTTACACTGAAGTCATAAAAATGTTGTAAAACTTTTACATGTAAATAATTGTACATTTCATATTATATTTCAATTAATATAATAACTTTCCACACTCTGCCCTTTCAAAACTGGAATACAAGGTTAACAACTATGAAACAGTGATCTCCAAGGAGAATAATGCCCTATTTACAACAAAGATACAAAAATGATGTGCATGTTTAATAGGTTTCATCAAAGATAATTTCATTGCCATTTAAATTGAACAAAAATAAATTAATTAATAGTGGACTACTAATGACCTTACCTTCTTGAACTGCTTGAAAAGGGTTGTTGCCATCAACAAACGTCACTGAAAATGTGATTTTCTCGGTCTGTAAGATCTCCTCATTTTGGTTAAGGTCACCGACTGCTGTGCGAAACACCTCATCATCCTTTTTGGCAGATTCATCAAAAATTGCTCCTAGAAAGAAGTGAGTTTTGCCATTAAATAATAACGTAAATATTCTGTCATGCCCTCTGGAAATATGACAAGGAGACTTACGTATTTAAAAAACATACTTTCACTTAAAGCATGCACTTTACTTACTAATGAAACGAATTGTACTGGAAGCAGTGTAATAGCTGAGAAGGAATATGGTTACTTCTTCCAAATGGAATGATATACAGTACCTCAAAGTGTTATTGCAGGGAGATCACAAGGAAGACAGTATAATAGTTATAAAAAGCTTCTGCATGACAAAGTATCTAATACAATGTATGTCTTATATCATGAGATCTTTAAGAAATTCATAGCTAGAAGATTTATTTTCTGAATAAAAGGAAATAGGCTCAGGAAACTTCTTGAGATCCATTCATAGAGTATATAGGACTCAAACCCTTCTTGTGATCTTAATTTATTTTTCATTTCCTGTCTTCCTTCCCTTTGTTTGAACAAGAGTTTCATTATCCTTTATTGTAGTAAAGTCAATAATATTTATAGAAAATGTAAATACATTAAAATCTCTATGCAGAGGGAATGAAGAAATATTTCACAAGGAACTAAAGTAAGTCCTAATGGATTATGCATTTTCTTTATCCACATGTAATAATGATGATAATAAACACTCTGCTAACTTTTATTGAGTATTTGGTTGTTAATAGCATATTGGGTAAGCACATCATTTCTAAGAGCAAACTGATTTTAAATACTGACTCTGTCCCTTGTTAAGTATGTGACCTTGAGCAACATGCTCAAATTCTAAACCTCACATTTGTTATCTGCAAAATCTAATAGTAACATCTATTGTTAGGAATTATTGTGTGTAAATGATATTATCCATGTAATCTGTAAATTGTGGCCACTAAATAGTAAATTCTCAACAAATGCCTGTGTTTTCTTTTAATACTATAATTTACAACATGGATGAACTTGGAGGACATTACAGTAAATGAATAAAGCAGACAGAAAGAAAAATGCTTCGCAATCTCACTTACATGTAGTATCTAAAAATTCAAACTCATAGAAGCAGAGAGTATAACAGTGGTTACCAGGGATGGAAGTGTACAAAAATGAGTAGAAGTAAAAGATTATAAACTTGCAACTATGTAGAACTAATGAGTCTATAGATCTAATATCTAGCATGAAAATTATGATAAATAGTACTGTATCCTGAAAAAATTGATGAGAGTAGATTTTAGTTTCTCTGACACACACACACACACACACACATGCACACACACACACACACACACACAAAGGTAACTATGAAAAGTGATGGATTTGTAAACTTGCTTGCCTATAGTAATCACTTCACTATGTATATAATATAAAAACATTAAGTTCTATAGCTCAAATATATATGATAAAACAAGTTAATAAATGCTGTAATTCAAACAGTGCTTAACATTAATTTTCTATTAATTTTTCATAATAGAGTATCTCATTTAACCCTTAAAATATTTATGAAATATATACTGCTAGATACATATGCAATTATAAAATCAGGGTTAACTGCAAGAATTTTGCACTTAATCCTAATTTTATAATTGCATATGTATCTAGTAGTATACAACAAGAGCTAGTGCCCTGGCCTCCTTGACTCCAATGTTCTTGCTCTAACTCATTATATCATACTGTTTTCTAGGATTGTACCTATGAAGAATGGAATAGGGGATCCTGGCTTTATTGCAAATCTGAGGTACTCTTTCCCATCTGGCCATGCAGTTTTATTTGTATTATTGGAGTTCTTATAGTTCTAAGCAGGCACACATTTTTAAATTATTTGACTTGTAATTATAAACATTTAGGGCAACGGACTCTTTTGCCCTAAAAGACTTTTTTGTGTAGTCTTTTTGGATGAACTGAATAAAATCCCTCTTGACAAAAGACATAGTCTCCAAGAAAAATAACATAATAAAGGAATAACTTTATATACCTACACACATACATATCTATATCCATATACACATAATGTATGTTTCTTGCCTATTCATTTTATTGTGTGATTATGAAAATAAAATGTGTGTATATAAAAATAACTTTTATATCTATAAGAAAAATACAGGTATTATATACACATATAAAAATAGAAAAACAGACTATTCATACACAAACTTGTATATATATGAAATATATATTATTTACATATATATACAAATGTATGTATAGAAGTAGTCACTTAATAATGGCCAGTTTTGCTGACTTTATACATCTGTGAGTGAAGCTTCAGGCCTTCTAGTGAAAGACAGATCAGGATATTAATCATGTATTATTAGCATCAACACATTTTTTTTTAAATGAGTGAAACTGTGACAGGTGCTGACAAGTGTAGCAGATTACCCGTAAATCTCTATACAGTACCTTGAGATGGCTTAACTATAGAAAGATGATGGTTAATTTTTGCTAGGGAAGCTGGAGTGTCTAAGAGGCTGTGTGAAGCTGGCTTTGTCTTATCGCTGCTTTGTTTGTTTGTTTTTGAGACAGTCTCCCTCTGTCTTCAAGGCTGAAGTGCAGTGACACAATGTCAGCTCACTGAAACCTCCACTTCTCAGGCCTCCACTGCCTCCGCCTCCCTAGTAGCTGAGACTACAGGCTTATGCCACCATGCTCAGCTAATTCTTTTGTATTTTTAGTAGAGATCGAGTTTCACCATTTTGACCAGGCTGGTCTCAAACTCCTGACCTCAGGTGATACACCCGCCTTGGCCTCCAAAAGTGCTGGGATTACAGAAATGAGCCACCATGCCCAGCCATCACTGCTCTTTCATATTGCCATAGGTTATATCAGTCTCCTCAAACCATTGCTTTCCATTTCCTGTATATTTTGAGTATCTGCCCATGGCTGGGAACATGAGAGAAAAGAATGAAGAATTTTTAAAATTGACATATAAATTGAGTACTTCTTAATTATGTTATTAGGTATTTAACCAGAATATTAATATTTTATTAACATAATCCAATATATATTATAGACTTTATTTTTTACTTAAGTTGTCTTTTCTGGGCCAGATAATACTTCTGAATCTAAGCTCTTGTAAAAATATTTAGACAATAAATGTTTGACTTATCTTGCTAATTTAAGCAGCTTTCATAAGAATTACTTTAATATGTGATAATCCTTTTGTAGATTAATCATTACATTGAAATTTAATACTATCAGGTTTAGATATACCAATTTCTTTAATAGTTTGTTAGGAAATATGAAGTTTTCATAATTGAAGCTGAAATAACCAACTCATTTTAAATCAGATAATCTAAATGTCTATTCACAAAGAAGCAATGTGTGTTCATACAAACTTGTTTCAACTTGTCATGGATTCTAAACGAGTCTTTAAAAAAGAGCTTCTAATCAACCTTGTTTTATAGCAGGTGATGTTATTGACTTCTGCCGTATTGGTAATACATTTTTGATGGAAGCATTTTGCTATTACATGACAGAACACTTAATATTGCCTTAAACATTAAACTTGGGTTAATAAACAGCAGAAACCTGCAGAAATGATAGTATATTAGTCAATCCTTAGCAGAATTAAGATACAGTGAAAAAATGCATAAAAGGAACAGTTCATCTTTCTGCAAATAGCAAGGAAATACACAGAAGAAACAGTTTATCTTAATGCAAACAGTGTACTCAAAAAGTAGAAAATCTTATCCAACATTTCAAATCCCAGTTATTTATTTACTTTTCTTTTCAGCTATAAAAATCTTATCTTAAACTGACTTTGTACTAAAGGAGTGCATGCAGTATTTTGTCTTCAACAAAAACATTCTGAAAACAACATGATTAGTTCCACAGGAAGGATCTTGGAACAGAAATGCCTTTCTAATTTCACCCACTTCCAACAGTCACAGCAATGTCAGCTTTCTATTATTTTTGTTAATACACAAGTATTAACAGTCTAGATAATCCAATATAATAGATACTATATCTACTTTGTTAACTATATAGTTGCTCAAATGCAGCATTCATAACTATGTAGTTAACATGATGTCAAAGCATCCAGTTCCTTCCCAGGTATTTTTACTAACATGTTTTCAGTCAGTTTTATTTTATAACCTTGATGGAGAAAGCAGATTAGACCTGTCAAGATGAAATAATTATTCTACCACTGATACACACACACACACTCACACAGCATTTCATCAATACTATACAATTCTTGCTGGCCAAACTGAAGGAAAGAATAACCAATTAATAAATCAGGAAAGGAGCATCTCCTAAATATTCATATTACAGAAATTTTTAATTAGTCATTTCCACTACTAAAGGTTGATACTTTGTTTCTTTCATGGGGGGAGAAATAAAGGCTTTATCTAATCCTTATACAAAGATACTGATATGCAAGTGTGCATATATATATATATATATATATATATATATATATTTTAATGACAGCTATAGCATGTTTACACGTCTCCTTATATCTTAGAAAAGATATTAATGTTAATGAGTTTGTACTATATGTAGCACTACTGAATACAATTGTGATAAACTAATAGACAAATTGGCATATATATGAAAAAATACCAAATTTAGACAAAGTTTTACAAAAATACAATTGTTAAATTAATCACAATTTATAGTAATATTAGATCAATGCTAATGTCTTAAATTTTCATTGTGAGGCGTCATGTGTAAAAGTGTTAATGCAGGTATGCCCTTTGGAAATTCATAAATTATTGTACAATTTAAAGTTATAAAACAGCTGACAAACTACAGCACTTTTGTTTAAAAAACATAATTATGTTTCTAAAATGTATGTAAATACTCTCACAATACATATACTTATTTATCAATTTTTAAAATGGCAATCCAAATTTCTTCTTTAACCCTAATAGATGGTTGGGTGTGGTGGTTCATGCCTGTAATCCTAGCACTTTAGGAGGCCAAGGCAGGTGGACCACAAGGTCAGGAGATCCAGACTATCCTGACCAACACGGTGAAACCCCATCTCTACTAAAAATACAAAATCTATTCAGATGTGGTGGAATGAGCCTGCAATCCCTGCTACTCAGTAGGGTGAGGCAGGAGAATCGCTTTAAACTGAGAGGTGGAGGTTGCAGTGAGAGGAGATCTTGATACTGCACTCCAGCCTGGGCAACAGAGTGAGACTCCATCTCAAAAAAGGAAAAAAAAAAAAATTAACAGATAAATGCTTGATATATGTGTATACATGGGTATATGTGGATTTTTTGTGCTTGAAATAAGTCAGTACTTCAGACTATAAAATCATTTCACTCAAAAACACATTCACAAATATGCCTGCTAAGTAAAATATTTATAAGATCACTAACCTAACCAACTCAATAACTCTCTAAAAATTCGAAGATTTTTCTCTTTCATGGCTTTATTTTTGGTATTTTCTCTACCATGGAGGCATTCCTTATCACATTAGCAAAATATAATTTCCTAGCCTATAGAAATTATTTTTTTTTTTTAGCTGGGGCTTTGGGCTCTGTAGAAACTATTTTATATTTGCATTGTCTATAAAAGAGCTTGAATATTTTAGACACTCAAGAAACACTGATTAAACTTTTTTTAACATTAAGTTAGTTATAACCTTGTAAAATAAGACAACTAAATTTAGATGTATGGATAAAATGTAAGTTATACCTAAACCTAAATTAAAACAAAAGTAGACTTGAAAATATACTTGCATGTTAATTTATTGTCACAGGCATTATCATGATTCCAGAAGACCCAAATTAGTCAGCAGGGTAATAATCATACACAAGGTAATTATTAATCACACTAAAAATTTGTATTTTAGAACGAATATTCAAAATGTTGGGTCTTATAAATTTAAGAGGCAATTGGAGTAAAATTATTTACCAGAGAAGACAGTAGAGAAAAAATATGTTCATCTTGCACATAATTTCCTCTAAAAATATTGAGAAAAATTTTGATATATTTTGAAGAAATTTTCCACAGTGAATAAAATTATTGGGAGATATACATATTCTATCAGGTTGTTTTTAAAATGAAAGACTCTAAATATTGACACCAAGCATCAACACATCTACATTCCTCTTGCACAATCAATAGCACATCATCTAGAAAAACTTCTATATAAACATTTCCATAAAAAGGTTTCATTGTTGCAAAAAATATTCATTTCATAGTTGCAAAAAAAATCAAAGATAGCTGATCTCTACTTTTAGTCATCAAGTTCAAACTCTTTACTCTCTTTATTCATTTAATTTTGACTAACATAAATAAATGATTTATGGTAGATAATCATAAAAAGAATAAACTTAATTGAAAGTTAGCAAAGGTGCAACATGCAATGAATCTTTTGTTTGCAGCAGAACAGATGATGCTTTTGTGTGCTCTCTCTCTCTCTCTCTTTCTCCCCAACTTTTTCCCTTCACTTTTTCTCTTGATGTTCAGGAATTCATTCATCCACCCATTCATCCATCTATTTATCAAACCAATCTTTTTTAAACACAGAGAAAACCATCGAAGTCAAGCCACTGTGCTCTTTAACAAGTGATTTAGTGACCAAATATTTGATATTGGGTAAGTGTTGAATCAAGCAATAGAGAAAATAAGATGCCATAGGAAGACAATGAAAAGAAGCAATCATGTTTTCAAAAAATCATAGCTGAAAGGAATTTTAGAGAGGGTTATGCAAACCTTGTCATTCTTCATAAATTGTAGTGCAAACATTTTAAGTGTTTTTTCCCAAATGACAGTCAAAGGTTACAAAATGTAGCGTGTATTTTGGAGGCTAAGTTAGGTATCCTGGTTTCAAGTTTGGACCTATGTCTGCCATATTATGCATTTTTTCACTTCAAGTATTTTTTATGGTAACTATATATAGAGTACATCACAACATATATGTGTGTGTGTATACACGTATACATATATATTCAATAAATAGTACTATAATGATGATTAGCATATTAAATTCACTTATTTTGAGCCATAAATGTTATACAATTGATGAAATGTAGTAAAATGCTGATCAGAAGACTAGTTTTACATAAATTTTAATTCCTTTGCCTCAGAAGCTTCAACGGCTTTAGTTTAGGAGGTTAAAATAAAGAAAAAAGTACAACTTTCTGCATTGGGGAGTTTATTGGTCACAGTAGGACTTACAGTTCTGCAGAGCTATTCAAAATCGTTAAATCATCATATATCCTTACTGTTTTGGATGCTACTATTCACAAGTGGGTTTTTAATTTAATTCTGACAATGTATTTTGCATACAAATTAGTTGCACTGTGAGCATATATCCAAATTGAGAGGTTTATACCATTTTTTTTCATCTGCAAATGGTATTCTTACTATTGCCAGTGGAAATTATGCATGCATTTCAAAAGGAAGGCAAATAATCAAAGGCATTGTAAATATTGTAAAAATCAGATTGCTACTTTATTTCATTTTCCCATTCATGTTATCCTCAGTTCAAAGAGAAAAAATGCTGAACATGTTCAAAACTACTAGGCAGTAAGAGAAATTAGCACATTATGAACAAATGAGATTAGCATTTTTGATATCTTTTGGTATCTTTACTTAAGCATAGATAGCATATTTGATAACAATAAGCGTCTTTACTTAGCATAGATATCAGCTACTACTTCATGGAGTATCATTACAATGAAGGTAAAGACATTGTGCATATATGTATGTAACTATATGCACATGTGCATATATTTATATTATACATGAACAAATAAGTACATTTGTTACATACACACACATATTACAAGTCAGTACATAATAAATGTACATATTTGGACATGTATATACACATATATAATTATCTTCCCAGGAAACATTAATTAAGTTGAGATATCTATGATTTAATTCTGTATTACAAATGTTTCAGCAGCTTCTTATTTAACTTAACATTTCCTAATATGTCCTATGCTAATATCCTTGCAGGCATGAAATAGGTCTTCAGATCTCCTTATTCTTTTAACAGGAGGCATATTTTTCTCAGTTCATCTTATTTAAGCCTTCATAAGCACTCTGACCGAATAAGTAAACCAAAACAATGACTCTAATTATTGTAAAGGAGGTGCTGGATATATACCAAATTCATGACAATTAGCAAATATTCTGAATTACACACAATTGAAACTCTGTTGAGTTTCTCTCCAGTTTATAATATTTCAAATAATAGAAACAATGGCAATTAACATTTATTAGTACTAAGCACTGTACTAATTGGCTCATGGGCATTATTTCATTTCATTCTGATAAAAACCCTTTGAGGGAAATAAAACTTAGGTTAAGTAACTATCCCCAGGCCCAAGCTAGTAATAATTGCTGCAGAATCCATAGCTCTCAGTTCCTCAGCAAACTTTCAAAAACACTATAAGCTTAAAGCTGAAAATATGTACATTAAAACAAATTTCCAAATAAGCAAATAATATGCATATTTGTATTTTCATAATAATATATATACAGAGAGACAGAATCTTTCTCTGTCACCCAGGCTGGATTGTAGTGGTGCAACCATGGCTCACTGCAGAATCAATCTCCCCGGCTCAAGTGATCCTCCTGTCTCTGCTCCAGTTGGAAGTACAGGGGCATGCCACCAAGCTTGGCTAATTTTTTAATTTTTATTTAGAGACAGGGGTTTCCCTTTGTTTCTCGGGCTGCTCTCAAACTTATGGGCTCAAGTGCTCCTCACCTGAGGAACTATACTATCACTGTACTTCCCTATCCCAAAGTGCTGGGATTACAGGCATAAGCCACCACACCCATCGTTTGATAATAATTATAATAAAATTTTATTGTACATTAAAATTCTCAAATATGTTTCAATCTTACCTTGTTTTTTTTTTTAACAAACTTTATATTTAAGTGTGTTTAGGGCTAATTAATGTATATAAAGATGTAAATTGATACAAATTTCTAAACCTTAGGTTAAATAATAATCTTTGGTTAAATAATAATCTTAGGTTAAATAATAATCTTTGTAGTTACATTGGAATAGTGTTAAGTGAGTTCCAATGGCATGCACACTATGACATATTTTGAAATGCAGAATTCAGAACAAATCTTGAACTTTGAATTTCTAAGGATTTTTTTTTTTTTTTTTTTTTTTTACTTTAGTGACTAATGATCCTAATAGAGTGACAATGTCAGAGTCATTGACTTTAAATATTCGGGACTTTTATTAATTTACTTAAGTCTATAATATTCAAATTGTGGCCAGGTACAGAAACTACCTGGCTTATTATTTTCAAGTGCTTACTTAGCACTTTGCTCCGAGAGTTCAAAGTATATTATAATATTAAGTTCCATTCCACTCACCATAACTGTCTAGTGTATGGGCAGGCATCCTTTTTATTTTAAACATATGTAATCAAGTACAAAGAGGGTATTGTCAAGCTCTCAGAGTGTATTAGTTATGATACAATGTAGAAAAGTGGAAGGAGAAAACTTTGTGCAGATATTTTAAATGATCATGCAGAAATCCTTGCATGTGTATTGTAATTTACATTTACCTAGTGTCAGAAATATTTTTAATAATTCAGACACCTTTAAATTGTTTTCTTTGATATATTTTTGACCAAGAGACTTAAAATGACGAGGGTAAATCATAGACCAATAAGTGAAATTTTAATACTGTCTCCAGGGAATTCTCCAGAGATTTATGTTTGAATGTGGCATTTGTTTGCAGTGTGAAAAATTCAAAGAGATTCTTCATTCTAACACAAGGCCTTTTTCTTAGCCCTACTCTCCAATAACATGTGAATTTACATTTCATTTGGAAAACCTGTATAGTTATCCAGAAACACAAAGCAAATTTAAACTGATAATACTATCACTGGAAATGTCTGACTTTGCTGTGTGTTTTCTAGAAGCATGTGGGAGAGAAGGAAATGTAGGCTGCTTACTGAGTCACCCATGTGGAGCATAACAACAGATTGATATTTAAATTAACTTCTTTCTTTTTTGTTTTTTTATTGTACTTTAAGCTCTGGGGTACATGTGCACATCCTGCAGGATTGTTGCATAGGTACACACATGCCATGATGGTTGGCTGTCTCCATCTCCCTGTTGCCTACATCAGGCATTTCTCCTGGTGTTATCTCTACCCAATCTCCCTGTCCTGAGCTGTCCCTCCCCTCCCTTGCCCCCAACCCACCCACCTACCCTGTTTGTGATGGTCCCCTCCCTGTGCACAGGTGTTCTCATTGTTCATCACCCACCTATGAGTGAAAACATGCAGTGTTTGGTTTTCTGTTCTTGTGTCAGTATGCTGAGAATGATGGTTTCCAGATTCATCCACGTCCCTACAAAGGACATGAACTCATCCTTTTTTATGGCTGCATAGTATTCCATGGTGTATATGTGCCACATTTTCCTTGTCCAGTCTATCATCAATGGGCATTTGGGTTGGTTCCAAGTCTTTGCTATTGCAAATAGAGCTGCAATGATCATACCTGTGCCTGTGTCTTTATAACAGAATGATTTATAATCCTTTGAGTATATACCCAGTAATAGGATTGCTGGGTCAAATGAAATTTCTATTGCTAGATCCTTAGGGAATCCCCATATTGTCTTACACGATGGTTGAAGTAATTTACACTCCCACCAACAGTGTAAAAGTGTTCCTATTTCTCCACATCCTCTGCAGCATCTGTTGTCCCCAGATTTTTTGATGATCTCCATACTAAAGGGCGTGGGATGGTATTTAAATGAAGTTTTGATTTGCATTTCTCTAATGACTAGTGATGATGAGCTTTTTTTCATATGTTTGTTGACCTCATATATGTCTTCTTTTGAAAAGCATCTGTTCACATCCTTCACCCACTTTTGAATGGGTTTGTTTGTGGTTTTTTTCTTGTATATCTGCTTTAGTTCTTTGTAGATTCTGGATATTAGCCCTTTATCAGATGGGTACCTTGCAACAATTTTTTTCCCATTCTGTTGGTTGCCAGTTCACTCTAGTGATTGTTTCTTTTGCTTTGCAGAAACCCTTGCATTAAATTAGGTCCCATTTGTCTATTTTGGCTTTTATTGTCATTGTTTTGGTTTTTTAGTCATAAAGTCCTTGCCTATGCCTATGTCCTGAATGGTATTGTCTAGGTTTTCTTGTAGAGTTTTTATGGTGTTAGGTCTTATGTTTAAATTTTTAATCCATCTGGAGTTAATTTTAGTGTAAAGTGTCAGGAAGGGGTCCAATTTCAGCTTTCTGCTCATGGCTAGCCGGTTATCCCAACAGCATTTATTAAACAGGGACTCCTTTCCCCATTGCTTATTTTTGTCAGGTTTGTCAAAGATCAGATGGTTGTAGATGTGTGGCATTATGTCTGAGGTCTCTGTTCTGTTCCATTGGTCTATATCTCTGTTTTGGTACCAGTACATGCTGTTTTGATTACTATAGCCTTGTAGTATAGTTTGAAATCAGGTAGTGTGATGCCTCCAGCTTTATCCTTTTTGCTTAGGATTGCCTTTGCTATGCAGGCTGTTTTTTGGTTCCATATGAAGTTTACGGTGTTTTTTTGTTTTGTTTTTTTTTTCCAGTTCTGTGAAGAAGGTCAATGGTAGCTTGATGGGGATAGCATTGAATATATAAATTACTTTGAGCAGTATGGCCGTTTTCTTCTTCCTAACCATGAGTATGGAATGGTTTTCCATCTTTTCATGTTAGAACATAGATCTTCTCAGAATAGTGTTTGCATTTTTATACTAGTTCAGTGAATAAACATTTCGAAGATCAATTCTTTGAATAGAAATATTTCGCAGTTTTAAAAGAGTACGAGATGGTAAAAGCTCAAATGTCTTAATTTTTTCTTGTATAATAGCAGCAGTATTTAACTCTTTAATTTCGTTTACATCTCTTCTTACTGAATCCGTCAGGTAAACCAACCAGAGCTTTGTATGCTGTGTTACAGTCCCTTTCTCTATTTTGCACTATTAATTGAAGCAACAGCCTAATATTACAAACTTCTGCCATGACAAGAACAAAAACACCTAATTTGACAGTAGACACTTTAAACACTGCACAAAAATTCAAACTCTTCCCAAACTTACATGATGCAGAAGTTCTAGCCAGAGCAATCAGGCAAGAAAAAGAAATAAAGGGTATTCAATTAGGAAAGGAGAAAGTCAAATATTCTCTATTTGTGGATGACATGACTGTATATTTAGAAGACACTATCGTCTCAGCCCAAAATCTCCTGAAACTGATAAGCAACTTCAGAAAATCTCAGGATACAAAATCGACGTGCAGAAATCACACCCATTTCTATACACCAATAAGAGACAAATGGAGCCAAATCAAGAGTGAATTCCCATTCACAATTGTTACAAAGATAATAAAATACCTAGGAATACAACTAACAAAGGATGTAAAGGACCTCTTCTCGGAGACCTACAAACCACTGCTCAATGAAATAAGTGAGGACACAAACAGATGGAGAAACATCCCATGCTCATGGTTAAGAAGAATCAATATTGTGTAAATGGCCATATTGCCCAAAATAATTTATGTATTCAATGCTATTCTCATCACACTACCTATGACCTTCTTCACAGAACTGGGAAAAAAAAAAAAACAAAAAAAAAAAACAAAAAAAAAAACAAACAAAAAAAAAAACACCTTAAACTTCTATGGAACCCAAAGAGAGTATACCAAGTCAATTCTAAGCAAAAAACAAAACAAAACAAAACAAAACAAAAAAACAAACAAACAAACAAACAAATAAAACAAAGCAGGAGGCATCACACTACCTATCTTCAAACTCTGCTACAAGTTTACAGTAATCGAAAGAATATCGTACTAGTACCAAAACAGAGATATAGACCAACGGAACAGAACAGAGGCCTTGGAGGCAATGCCACATATCTACAACCATCTGATCTTTGACAAACCTGACAAAAACAAGCAATGGGGAAAGGATTCCCTATTTAATAAATGGTGTTGGGAAAGCTGGCTAGCCATGAACAGAAGCAGAAACTGGACCCCTTCCTGACATCTTACACTAAAATTAACTCCAGATGCATTACAGATTTAAATATAAGACCTAACACGATAAAAGCATTAGAAGAAAATGTAGGCAAAAGCATACAGGACACAAGCATAGGCAAGGACTTCATGACTAAAACACCAAAATCATTAAAATCCAAAATAGACAAGTGGGACCTAATTAAACTCCAGAGCTTCTGAACAGCAAAAGAAATAATCATTAGAGTGAATCAGCAATCAACAGAATGGGAAAAAATTGTTGCAATCTACCCATCTGACAAAGGGCTAATCCAGAATCTACAAAGAACTAAAACAGATTTACAAGAAAAAAATCAAACAAACCCATTCAAAAGTGGGTGAAGGATATGAACAGACTCTTTTCAAAAGAAGGCATTTATGAGGGTAACAAACATGAAAAATGCTCATCATCACTAGTCATTAGAGAAGTGCAAATCAAAACCACATTGAAATAACATCTCTTGCCAGTTAGGATGGTGATCATTAAGAAATTTGGAGACAACAGATGCTGGAGAGGATATGGAGAAATAGGAACACTTTTACACTGTTAGTGGGAGTATATATTAGTTCAACCATTGTGGAAGACAGTGTGACAATTCCTCAAGGACCTAGAAATAGAAATTCCATCTGACCCAGCTATCCCCTTACTGGGTATATATCCAAAGGATTATAAATCGTTCTATTATAAAGACACATGCACACGTATGTTCATTACAGCACTGTTTACAATAGCAAAGACCTGGAACCAAACCAAATGCCCATCGACTATAGACTGGACAAGGAAAATGTGGCACATATACACCATGGAATACTATGCAGCCATAAAAACAATGAGTTCATGTCCTTTGTAGGGACATGGATGAATCTGGAAACCATCATTCTTAGCAAACTGACAATAACAGAAAATCAAACACTGCATGTTCTCACACATAGGTGTGTGTTGAACAATGAGAACACATGGACTCAGGGAGGGGAGCATCACACACTGGGGTCTGTTGGGGGGACTAGGAGAGGGATAGTGGGAGGTAGGGAGTTGGGGAGGGATAACGGGGAGAAATGAAGATATAGGTGACAGGGATGCAGGCAGCAAACCACATTTCCATGTATGTACCTAAGCAACAATCCTACATGTTCTGTACATATATCCCAGAAACTAAAGTGCAAATACTGTGGACAATCGCCTGGACAACCTGCAGCTGGTGCCATGGGGCTGGCGGCCCAAGGCCGAAGAGACCTCTAGCAAACAGAGGGAGCAAAGCTTGTACTGGCTTGCAATTCAGCAGCTGCTTACAGACCCCATAGAAGAACAGTTTCCTGTCCTGAACGTGACCCGGTACTACAACGCCAACGGGGACGTGGTGGAAGAGGAGGAGAATTCCTGCACCTACTATGAGTGCCACTACCCGCCCTGCACGGTGATCGAGAAGCAGCTCCGGGATTTCAACATCTGCGGGCGCTGCCAGGTGGCCCGGTACTGCGGCTCCCAGTGTCAGCAGAAAGACTGGCTGGCCCACAAGAAACACTGTCGGGAGAGGAAGCGTCCCTTCCAGCATGAGCTGGAGCTAGAGCGATGACGGGCGGGGCAGCCACACACGGTCGCAGCCCCCGGGCTCTGCCCTGGGCACAGCAGAGACAAACTCATGGTTGAACCTGGAGGTGCCGAAAAAGCCAGCTGCAGGCCCGGGACAGCCGCCGTGAGACTCTCGATGCACAGGCAGTCTGTGTGGGCACAGCGCCCGCAGTGTTCATCTTCAGCAGGGACAGGAGGCGGCTCCACCAGGACGGTTCTCATTATTTATATGTTAATATGTTTGTAAACTCATGTACAGTTTTTTTGGGGGGGGAGGCAATGAGAAGGGTAAAAATTACAAATATAATATTTTGCTGTAATCCTTGAATGGCAAATGGTCGGGCCACGTGTCTAAAAACTGTCCTGTAGCTGCAGCTTCGCCCCACGGAGCACGGCCTGCACGGGAGTTGTGTCCACAGAGGCAAAGTAAAGGGGTGGCATCATCAAAAAAAAAAAAAAAAAAAAAAATGCAAATACTGTGAATATGATCCTCTGGTCAAACATAGTCAAACACATTTTGAAAAGAAATAATGTAGTGTAGGCTGTCTTGTACAGAGTAAAAAATTCTTATGTTTAAGATAAATATTTACTCGCTTTGAGATGCAAAATCATTTTACCTATCTGAATTGGCCTACATAAATATGTTGCTTGTAATTGAGCATTTTAGAACTTCTGTAACATACTGTTTTAGTTCTAAAGTAAATTATTTCGTGGAATATTTCAGGTAGGAAAATGGTACTCTTCCAATATAAATCTCAGACTTTGTAGTTAATAACTCTGAACTCATTTGTAATTTTTTTCTTCTTCTTTATTACATGAACACACATTTAACTAGCATAAATGAAGATTTTATAGATATACACTGATTATTTTTTCAATATGTCCTATAAAATATACATCTATTTCCAGGGAATTGCCATGTAAGGTATTTCAAAAGCATTAAGAAAACAGTGATTATATTATAACTGTAGACTAGACAACTGTAAATGAGACATGAGTTTCTCTCAGGAGGATGGCAAATTTTCTAGCTATCCATTAGCTGCAATATATATAGCAGTTAATTAACTGAGTCCATTATACTCTGTGTGTATATGGACTCTCTCTAGATATGTAGTATATAGAGAGTATAATGGATTCAGTTAATTTCATCTTTCAGATCTGTACCATAGTCACAGTCTTTGACTTTACATATGTCGTATCCTTAAGAAAAATCAATTTCCAAATATTATTTTATTAAGAACTTGCTAGAAAATAAGCCTTACACAAATGGTCAAAGTATGCTTGCCACTGTTTCATTCATACTAAGAAAAGAGCAATAATACTTTAAACTTTATCATTTTTATAGGTTATCTCTCTTAATCCTCATTTTACCGATGAGGAGTCTTAGAATCAGAAAAGTTAGATGAATTACCTAATCACATGCTTAAAACATACATGATATGAGACTTAAATCTAAAACTCTCGGTTCCAAGGCCTGTAGTTTTTATCCTATATAAACTACATCTGTGTTTAAAACTTAGTCCATTCTTGAGACAAAATATTCTCCTTTTTGAATAACATGTGCTAGGGAAAAAGAAATAATGAATGCCTTCAAACTGTGTTTTTAATTTATTTTCATTGATAGTTTGATACCAGCACAAGGAATGTAGTCATCCTCTTTTGAAGTAAAAGAAACAAACAGCATCTGGAAGGAGCTAATAATTTAGAAATGAGTTGTGGGCCGTGTTAGAAGAGATGATAGAGTGTGTACTGCGGCCTTTTAAACACATCTTGAAAAATTAAGTAAAAGTCAAAATATGTCCATTAAGAATGTTTACTTATGGTACTTGATATTAACTAATTTACCATAGAGCTTGAATTAAAAAAAAAAATCAAATTTGGAAAAATTATAATGCCTTGCTATTGCATGAAGACCCATAGTTGAAGTATATGAAAGAAACATAAGTAGATTTCTAGGGATCTCCTACTATGATTATATATCTTAAGATTTCAAATTAAAACTCAAAAAATATTGTTTTTTAAATAAAAAAGGAGGCCAGTGTGGTGGCTCATGCCTGTGATCCCAGCACTTCTGGAGGCAGAAGCACGTGGATCACAAGGTCACAAGTTTGAGACTAGCCTGGCCAATGTGGTGAAAGCCTGTCTCTACTGAAAATACAAAAATTGGCTGGGCATGGTGGCACATTCCTGTAGTGCCAGCTTCTTGAAAGGCTGAGGCAGGAAAATCACTGGAACCTGGGAGGCAAAGGTTGCAGTGAGCAAAGACTGTACCGGTGCACTCCAGCCTGGGTGACAGTGCAAGACTCCATCTCAAAAAAAGAAAAAAAAAAAAAAAACAAGGAAACAAATTTGCTTTTAACATAAGATATAGAGCAAACTGGCAAAATATTTGTATCAGTGAATTCTGGTTTATCGGTAAATAGATGAATATTTACACTGACCTCAACATTCATGTCAGTGTTTTTTAAATTGTGATTTAATGATGAAGTAATCTGCTACTTCTTTCTTGACTCAGAGTTTGAATGAAATATGATACATGACAAAATGATAATTACAAGAATTCAAATAGATAGATAGATAGATAGATAGATAGATAGATAATTATATTTGGGTTGTTGAGATAAGGTTGCCCAGGCCGGTCTTAAACTTCTGAACCCAAGCAACTGCCTCCACCACCAGAGTAACTGGGATGACAGGTGTGAGTCAGTAGGCCCTGCTTGCATAAATTTCTGAGGATGTTACTCTCTATTTAAGTATGTTGTTTCCAATATATCTTTGGCTATATTAAAGAGGTAGCTTCCCAAGCTTTAGGCAGCCAGGACTGAGAGGCTCTGTTTTTTTATAATCCCATTTTAAATAAAAATGAATAAATTAAGTCTCAGAAAATGTTAGTAAGTCATCCCAAAACTTGACTTGAACCTTGGAAAAAACATATTTAACTTATGTAAGATTCTCCCTGAGATTTTGAGGCCAGCCAATCCCATCATGTTTCATCACTGGCATCTTTGTTTACTGCTCAAAATGTTTATCTCTTTAGCCATTCTTCAGCTCCTCATTTTAAAAATATTTTTTCCTTTGACAAATGCCTACCCTACCTTTACATGATGCTAATTGTTCTTCACTCTGACCACCTAATTCCACGGTAATCACATTTCATTAATATTTTCAACTCTTTTATAGAAGAATCTGGCTTTGATTAAATTCTAGCTTTCTCTAGAGGACCTTGTTCTTCCTGCAGTCCTTTCAACTGGAGATTTATTTTTTCACATCATAGGCCCTGTAACAACAAGTTAACATTGAGCAGCTCCTTAAAAACAATGCCAAGTCACTACTTCTCCATTATGGAGTGAAATAATCTCTTCTGAATCCCTTGCCATTTAGCTGTCCTACCCTCTGATCCTTCTCATCACTGTCACTGACTATCTCCTGGCTAAATTCATCATAATTCAGATAACTAAATTCATTTTATAAATTGAAACCTGGTTCAAAATCTCTCCCTCTGTCCCAAGTCCTACTATCACCCTGGGTGATAATTGTTGACTTATCTACTTTAGTAACAACTCCATCTCATTTTTCTTAATCCCAATGTCTACGCCTCCACTAAACCCAGGGCCAATGACAGGTCCCTGACATCTCCTGTACTCTAAATGAGAAATTCTGAAATCTAATATCTAACTCTTTACATGGTCTTTACAGAACTTTCAAGACTCATTCTATTCCATCTATTCTTCAGCCACATTGAAACTTCCAGTTCCCTAATCACTAAGTCGATGGAGATTCCATTTTACAGAAATGATGATAACTGACAGAGTAACAAGAGGTAAATTAATAGTTCCCCATTTGAATGCATTATGTTTCTGAAGCCTATTGAAATCAAAGTCCAGAAATTCGGTTGACAATTAAATGTGTAGAAAATGGAGCTTAAGAGAAAGATGTCTGAATTGCAGACATATATTTGAGAGTCATCAAGGTATCTTTGGAAATTAAAAATCTGAGACACATTAAAAAAAAATAGCCTAAATGGAAAGAGGGTCTAGAACAGGTCCCAGATCCAGAATGAAGATTAGCAGGGTGGGGAAGCAGCCCACCCAGGAGCAACACAGACCCAAGGGATCCCCAACTACAGCCAAGGGAAGCGGTGAGTGATTGTATGATCCCAGGAAGGCACATTTCTACTACAGAGCTTTATAAACCATGGGTCAGAAGGTCCCCTCACGGGCCCATGCCACCAGGGCCTCAGTCTGACACACTAAGCTGGGCAAAGTCTCAGGAGAACAGCTGCTCAGACACATGCAGAGATCCAGGAGCTTTATGTACTCCAACCCCAGGAACACTGGCAAGGGTGTCTGCAGCTCAAGCAAGGCAGGAGGTCCTTCCTAGGAGGTCCCCTAAGATAGGGGCTGAATTTAGGGAGTTGAGCAGTGCCAGTCTGCAGGCCCCACTTCCAAGACACCTCACAGGATGAGACCCACTGGCTTGGAATCCATACTAGCCACCAGCAACAGAGTGGAGCCTGCCTGAAAGGAGATGGCGCCCTCTGGGGGAGAACTCGGCCACCATATCTGCTATTTGATCCAATCAGCCATTTCAGCGTGTGGGCTTTGGCGAGTCCGAATGGTCTAGAAAAGGAAAGATCCCCACAGTGCAGCACAACTTCTTTGCTAGAAAGTGACTGGAGTGCTTCTGTAAGCAGGACCCTGATTGATTCCTTCTCACTGGGTGGGACCTCCCAGCTAGGGTCTCCAGCCATGCTGGCCTGCATAGTATTCCACAGATAGCGCTCTGATTTCTCTCTAGGCCAGAGTGCTTACAGGGAAGGGCAGATTGCCACCTTGGTCATTTGGATAACTCAGCCATTCCAGCCTGTGGGCTTTGGAGAGTCCAAGGCAACAGGGGCAGAGGTGGTTCCCCAGTATGGCAGGGCTGTTTTGTCAAGACATGTCCAGATGGCTTCTTAAAGGAAGACCCTGATCCATTCCTCCTCATGGGAGGGTTCTCATAGCC